ATAGGATTTAAGGCTCACTTCGGGTTTAGGCTATTAGGGCGCCAATTCATGGGCTTGGGTTTGTAGCGTATAGGGTTTATAAGGGGTTATATGGGTTTAATCTAAGGGTTTCGGGTTTATGGGATTTTGGGGTCCGGGATCTGTGTAGGGTTTGGGGTTTCAAGTTTCGGCAGCCCCCTTTTAAATTCAATAAGCCCAACAACCATGGCTTCAAGGCGCTCGGCGCGTTTGGAATCTCCCTCCCCTGATCCCGAAACCCAAAAGCCCTTGAACCAACTCAATTCTGGCAACCCCTCAACAACCTCATCTGGGGTGTAAGTGAATAAGCTCCATACCCCCTAACTGGAAAATATATATATATATATACACATATGTACTGTAACATAGCATAGTGTCATTTAGAGTATTACAAACAGTACATTCTGTATATGTATATATATATATATGTGTGTGTGAGTGTATATATGTGTGTGTTTATATATATATATACTGTTTATGTGTGATTATACATGCATTTAACATTCCGGAGCCCTTGCGCTGAACCCTAGAGGCCCTGAGGGGCACCAGCCCGGAGGGGCGGCTGCGCAGGTACTGCCACGGAGCCATGGCCGCAGGCCGCTTGCCGCCTGGCTCTGGCAGGTTCGTGGTAGGGAATGGGGAGAATGTGGGGTACCCTATATAATCCCTTAAAGGGTATATATGGGGAGGTACCCTCTATAATCCCTTGAAGGGTATACAATAAATAAATAAATATATATATATATATAGGGAGGTGGTGTATTTCGGGATATAGAAATGTATATAATATATCCGCCGACCCCAGCAACAGCGGGGCGGCGTCAGTGAAGACCCTCTCTGCCCTCACCCACCTACCCCCCTGCCCACTCCCACCACCAACCCTTCCCCTGCCCCTCCCACTACCCTTCCCCTTCCCAACCATTCCACTCCATCCTCCTCCCCTACCCCTATTCTACTCCATCCTCCTCCCCTACCCCCCCTCTCACCGTACCCCCTTGCCCGCCCCTAACCCTTCCACCACCAACCCCTTCCCCCCCTCCCACTACCCTTCCCCTCTCCACCCCTGCCTTCCACCCCCCAACCCCAATCCCCCCCACGCACCCCCAACCATTCCACCATTCCACTCCACCCTCCCCTACCCCTTCCCCACCCCCAATCCCCCTCCCCCACTCCCACCACCTTCCCAACCATTCCACTCCACCCCTCTCCCCACTCTGCCCCGCTGTTTCACCGCTCCCCTTACTCCACCCCTGCCTTCCACCCCCCAACTCCCCAATCCTCCCCGCAGGGCTGGGGCTGGGTGGGGCTGGGGCTGGGGCTGGGGCTGCTAACCCATGGCCCTGTACCTCATGGCCCCCGTTAAACGGGCCTTTGCCGGGCTCCAGTGCATGCCCGCCCCTGCTTGCTCCGCCCTTCTCACCGTACCCCCAATCCCGCCCCTCTTCCCCTGCCCCCCCTCCCACAACCATTCCACTCCATCCTCCTCCCCTACCCCTCCCCACCACCCCCCTCCCCCCCACTCCTTCCCCTGCCCCCACTCCCCCTTCCCAACCCATTCCACCCCCATCCCGCTCCCCTCCCCCTTGCCCCCACCCCCGACCGCTCCCCCCCTCTCACCGCTTTCACCCAACTTGCCACCCGCTCGGCACCCCGCCCTCCCCCACCCCCACGCCCCCCCCCCCCCACCCCCTTTCCCCATGCAGGCCTACCCTCTCCCGCCGCCCCTCACCGATCTCTGCTGTTTCAGCCAATCAGCTGACTCACTTCCCTCACCATCACCGTCCCCCCAACCCCCCCCCCTGGCCGGCCCCCAATGGCTCCATGCCCTTGATGGTCCCCTGGCCCTGTGCCTCCTGGCTCATGGCCCCACAGTTTTACGGGCCTCTGGCCCTTTGCCTCGATCAGATGACTGACTTGAAAGGGCTCGCTTGCTCCGCCCTTCCCCCCCCCCCCCCCCCCCCCCCCCCCCCCCCCCCCCCCCCCCCCCCCCCCCCCCCACACCTTGGAAAATTTGGGGTCGGCGGCACTGGCCATTAAATCAGGCAGCGCGAGGTCCCCAAAGGACCGAGCAAATGCGGACCTTTTAGCCCGGGTCGTCCCGGGAATAGCCTTGCTGGCCTCTGGCCTTCTGCGAAGCAGAATTAGGCCGGACGCCAGTGCCGCCGACCCCCGCGTGCCGCCGGTGAACGGTTTTTTTTTCGTGGTTTTTTGCGTCGCCACGGAGGCCCCCAGAGGGCGCGCATCATGAGCATCAGCGGGTCCAGCCCGGGACCCCCAGGCGCGCATCAGGAGCATCAGCGGCTCCCGGGGCGGGACCGCGGGGGGGCATCAGGAGCATGATGCCCCCCAAAGGGCGGGCATAAGCGACGTGTCTAAGCCCGGGGCTAGGAAAAAGGGAGTTTAGGGGCCTTATAAAGTGCTTAGAAACGTTAAGGGAGTCTCGGAGCCTCAAACGCTTAGAGATTTGAAGGGAGTTTAGGGGCCTGAAAATGCTTAGAAACTTAACGCTTAGAGATTTTAAGGGAGTTTAGGGGCCTCAACATGCTTAGAAACTGCTCGCCCCGGGCTTCTGCGTGCGCTGCCCGCCCATGGGCGCAGCCCCTTAAAATATATATATATATATAGAGAGAGAGAGAGAGGTGGTGTATTTCGGGAGGTACCCTATATGATCCCTGAAAGGGTATATATAGGTCACAATTCCATCATTGCCGACTAAGGGGGGGCTTGCGGAGGTGCTCAGCTTCTTGGGTTTAGGGGTTTAGGGGAAGTTCGGGTTTAGGGGTTTAGGAAGAGGGTCTAAGGGTTTCGGGGGAGTTTAGGGGTTTAGGGAAGTTAGGGGCTTCGAAATCTAGGATTCTAAAATTTAGAGCCTGGGCCTGGGGGGTTGCAGCACGACTTGTCGAAGAGCCTGTGAGTGCCCCCACACAACTGCACCCGAGAACAAAGTACCATCAGCCCAAACCCGACCGCAAACATCCAAACTTCACCCGAAAACCGAACTATTCGAAGCATTATCAAGCCCCGACTGGAGGGTTCAGGGTTTAGGGTGTCAAGGTGTTGTGGAAGCCGGCTGCGCAGACGACCGAGTATATGAGCCTCAAACAGAACTACAAACATCTATCCCGATATGCCCGAGTTTCCTTTTTCGGTCCCTATAGGCTTCCTGTAAGAAATGGGGTGTACCCTAAACCCTAACCCTAAACCCTAAACCTAAACCCCAACACTAAACCCTCCTAACCCTAAACTCTAACCCTAATTCCGAAACCCTACTTATTTTACTATGCCTTCGAACAAAAGGGGACGTTTGGCCGACGCCTGTCCCTTCTAACGAGGGCTATACAAGAACAAGTATTAGGGTCTAGGGTTGGCTTAAGGGTGTAGGGCTTAGGGCTTAGGGCTTAGGGTTTAGGGTTTAGGGCTTAGGGTATTAGGGCTAAGGGTGTTAGGGCTAAGGGTGGGAGTTCTTGAAATTATGTTTTTTTGTTGGGGGGGCTCTAGGGTTTGGGGTTTTGGAGGGTTTAGAGTGTAGGGCTTAGGGCGCTAGGGCTTAGGGTTGGGATTTCTTTAAGTTATGGTCCCTGTTGGGAGGCCCCGATGTCTTGTGGAACCCGATGTTTGGGTGTTATCGAGACAGCGGCCGTAAAATTAGCCAACTGGTCATGCGAGCCCTGTCAACCCTAAGCCCTAAGCCCTAAACCCTAAACCCTAACACCTCTCAAGCCTATATAGTCAAGCTGGCCCCAAAAGAATGGACTCCAAAAACGACATGGAGGATTTGTTTCTATTCCCATCTGAAACACCTGTAAAAACCCTTTGCAATTAAACCCTAAACCCTAAACCCTAAACCCTAAACCCTAAACCCTACACCCTAAACCCTAAACCCTAAACCCTAAACCCTAAACCCTAAACCCTAAACCCTAAACCCTAAACCCTAGGCCTGGCACCAGGAGCCACAGCTTCCGCCCCAGAAGCTGGGCCAGCCAGGCCGCGCTATGCCTGAAGGACATAGGGTTTAGGGCTGTGCCTGAAGGAGACTGCCGTGGCAAGGCTAGTAGGACTTAGGACTTAGGACTTGGGACTTAGGACTTAGGACATAGGGTTTAGGGTTTAGGGTTGAGGACTTAGGACATTGGGTTTTAGGGTGTAGGGTTCAGGGTTTATAGGGATTCAGGTTTAGGGTTCAGGTTTTACAGGGTTTAGGGTTTAAGGTTTAGGGTTTAGGGTTTAGGGCTTGGGACATAGGGTTCAGGGTTTATAGGGTTTAGGGATGTTTAGGGATTAGGGTTCAGGGTTTACAGGGTTGAGGGTTAAAGGTCTAGGGCTTGGGGATCAGGGTTTTCGGGTAAAGGGTTCAGGGTTTAGGGATTCGGGTTCAGGGTCTATAGGGTTTGGGGTTAAGTGTTTGTAGGACTTTTAGGGTTTATAGGGCTTTGAGGGCTTAGGGTTTCATGTCGGGTTGATAAGGCTTAGGACTTGCAGCTTTTATAGGGTTTAAGGTTGAGAGGCTTTGGGGTTTGCAGGGTTTAGGGTTAGCGGTTCAGGGTTTACAGGTTATTAGGGTTCATAGGGGATAGGATTAGGGGGACCCTTGGGGATATAGACCCTCTGAATACTGTCCCTGTTTAAGAGAGCCAGAAGAGGGTTCAGAAGGGTTCCCTTTTAAGGGTCCCCCTTATCTTACCTAGGAGAAGTTCAGGGTTGGTAGGGAGTTTATAGGATTTCCCCAAATTACTCTCACTCCCAAATCCTGTCCAAGGGCGCTACTTGGTCCCTTAGCAGCGCTGAATGGGTTATGGGCCCGTAAGAGGGGGCCCCCTTATAGACCTTCCTTCCTTCCTCGGCACTGGGGTCGTAGGTCAAACCCGTGCAGGCCAAAAGCGCACCGCTATGGTGACGCAGCCTTCAACAAAAGTGAGACAGAAATCGCAAACACCACAACCTGTTCAGCGCGATGCGCAGTGGTGTAAGGCAGCAAGTTGCACTCGACCAGCGGTATTCGCCAGGAGGCCGGCTGCCACAGCATCCTCAAAGGAGAGGGCGGCATGCTGCCGTCTGGACACCAGCACATACTTCCTTCCCGCAACCATGACGGCGAGAAGCGACAGGCCAGGGGCAACGGCGTTCATGACAGTACGTACAGCCTGCGTGAGGTCACCAGCCCACCACAGGGCGCCCCTATCACCAATGCACTCGGTCAAGCGCATGAGGGAGTTCGTGTGCCGAAGATATGCCTGTCTGGCTGAGGTGCACTCATCACGCTTGCCGTGGCTGCGTATCTTCTCAGAGATAGGGACAGGCCCCGGTCCCAAAACTTCCATCCGCAAGGAGCGGGCAGCATCCCAGAAGGCTTGAGTTTGCCAAGCAGTGTGCGCGCAGCATGCCCAAATATGCCAGTACGGACACCAATCCAGCCGGATATGCCACAAGCAGTCCCTTTCCAAGCCAGACCATAGGGGGGACGGCGCAGTGACGTCCTCCACTAAGGTTCTCCAGACAGACCACCTGTCTGGGCGGTCCCCGGTAGCAGTGTGGACAGAGTGGGCACCCCCACTTGGCCCCCCAGCGGCAGGGTCTCTCGGCGGGTGGGATATGGTCGGGAGCAGCCCGTTGGTGCACCTCAAGAGCAGCTGGCCCAAGCTGGTCCTGGGCCGCCTGCTGGCGCTCGGCCGCCTCCCAGTCCTCCCTTTCCTGCCTCAAGTCGTCTGCAGTAGCATATGCGTCACGCTCGGACGCTCGCCGCTCAACAGGGGTGGGCAGCCTGGGGCCCTGTGTTTGTAGTGGAGGGACGCGCAAGTGACCTAGCGCACCCTTCCGTTTGGTGGCAACGCCGGCCTGATAAATAGGCCCTACAACGTGCTGCAACCCATATCTACACATCGAGGTGTGTTCAATATGGTATCGAAGCCGGGTGGTGGAGTGAAAGTCTTTGAGGCACCACCTGCAAGTGGCGTCGACAATATACTGCATGCTGTGCGAAACCACACCATGGGAGCGATGCAAGTGTACTGCCAAGGCATGCTTTGTTTTGCTTTGGTGGTGGCACACTCGGCAGGGGAAGGACACCGGAGCCGGGGCTGGCAGGCGGTCGGCTTCAAGAGGAGTCGCAGGTAGCGCTTGCCGCCAGTGATCGTGGCATGCTCGTAGGAGCGTGCCGAAGCGGCTCAAGCGCCGGCATGTGCGCAGCAGAGTGGCAGCGTTGGCTTGCACCTGACGGCGTAGCGCAGAAGCAACATCTCCGGATAGGCCAGCTGCTGCCCAGACGACCCGAGCAGAAGCCAGTAGACTTTGAGGCCAGGCAGCGTCGCGATAATAGGCGGCCTCGAACAGGTCCCAGACACGCGAAGGTGCATGGCAGCAAAGCTGGATGAGAAGCCTGCAGCGAGCGACCAAGAGGGCTTCTCGTGGGGACTGCAAGGGCATGAGGACCTCAAGGGCGCAGTTGGCGGCGTGATGCCCCTCCTGCCATGACTGCCAAATCTTCCTGCGGATGCGGTCAAGCAGTCCCTCTAGTGGCTTGAGACTGCGTGGTCCTGGCGCCAACGAGGTGGCCAGGGTGGCATAAGCTGCAGGGAGGATTCTACCTGACACCCAACCTTCACGGACTGGCCAGGGCAACCGAGACCTTGTGAGGAGAGAGCCTGCGGCGTGCTCCGCTGCTCGCCCCCGGCTGACTGCATTCTCAATGTCGTGCCGGCCATTGTCGCGTGGTAGCTGAGGCACTCCCAAGTATTTGTATTCGGAGGCGATGCGGACATGCTCGTCTAGGATAGGGATGCTGGCAGTGCCTTGCAGCATGTCTCCCCTCACCCGGTCGGCCCCTGCACCCCGCGGGTCGATGAGGAACTCTGTCTTACCGGGGCCGGTGTTGACCCGCAGGCGGAAGGCCCGGAAAATCTGAAAGACAACGTTACCCATGCGCATCACTGTCTCAGGGACATCCCCTGCGTGGTCCACATCAGCCAGGAGGACAAGCCAGGCTATCGCACAAGGTTCAGCTTGCTCGTCGGCGCACGCAATTGCAATGGAATGATGTGCGATCCCAACCAATGCGAGTTCTTGGTTGACTTTGGCAATGATGCAGGTCATTACCGCACCGAACAACACATCCGCAAGCCCATCGCCAGGGCGGCTGCCGCGGGCGGCAAGCACAGGGAGGCGGTCTCCCTGCAAGAGCCAGCTAGAGCCTCGAACACAATCCCGGAGCATGGCTATTTCAGCCTCGTCAAGTCCCAGGACCTGTAGGGCCCCCCTATCCAGGAGGTCCTGCACCCACGGCAGCACAGCTTCCGCTCTCGCTGCTCCAGAGGATTCTCCAAAAAGAAGCTCGCGGTCAACCTCGTAGAAAGCTGCCTGCACATCGACAAACAGAGCGATATGTGACCTGCTAGCCTGGGCGGTAAGGCCGGCCGCGACGCGAAAGGCAGCTAGTGCATAACCAACATGCATGCCCGGCCTGCCCCCCAGTTGAAGTGGCTGATAGGCGTTGACAACCTTGCGGCCGATAGTGCTTCGCAGGTGGCTATGCCAGACTTTCGCTACCCCATTCAGCAGCACTATGGACCGGTAGTTGGCCGGTAATGCCGCCGGTCCTTTCTTGTACAGCGCGCAGGCAATCGCATGCTTGAAATCGCTAGGTTCGCGACCAGTCAGGGCAAGCTTAAGATGCAACTGCCACGTCCATCGCCCGGCCATGGCGGGCTGGGACGCCCAAAGTCCGTTGCGAATACCATCCGGGCCCGGCGCTTTGGCGGGTTTCTGTTTCCTGCAAAGTTGTTCCACTTGCAGGAGAGTGGGTGCTACATCAGGAAGGGCCTTGCCAGGGGTGCTCTGCCAAGCAGCGTGGGTGTCCGCCAAGGCCTGGGGAGTGACAACTGTTCCGTGCTCCTGACCACGGAACTGCTCCCGTAGCTCGCCTTGGATATCATACCCGCCCGCTGCTCGGACTCGGCGCCTGTCAGCCGCGCGCCTGGACGCCCAGCGCAGGTGTAGAAGCGCCTGATCTGGACGGCCACGCACATGCCACGACGCAGTCGCAGCAGACAGGAGTGACTGCATGTGTGCAACTTTGTCTCGCCGGCCGAGCCTGTGCAGGCGGTATCGTAATCGATTCTCCTGCCCGGAGAGTACTGCTACCCTTCGCCAGACATCGAGTCTGCGGGCCCCACCTGGGCGCTCTCGCCAGGCTCGGAAACACCTGCCCAACCAGGCTTGCTTGGCTCTTACGACTGCGAGAGCTTTTTCCCTTCGCACTTGCTTGAGCTGGCAAAGGTGGCGCCATGCTTCCTCGCTGAGGTAAGGCTGGGACGGCTTGGCTCTCGGTCGGCGGGGGAGACCATCCTGGAACCTCTTGTAGGCCTGTGACAGTTGCTGGACCTTCCTACTAACGTAAGCTCTCCAACAGCAAGCACAGGCATGTGGTCACGTCTGCCCAACAGAATGTCGAATTCAGGGAGGGGCGCTGTATACGTGACTCTGCATTGTGCCTCGGACACCAGCCAATGATCAAGGCGTTTGCTGAGGCCGCTTGCGTGTTGCCAGGTCCAATCATGACCGTGGTGGATGGTAGTGAAAGTGGCTGGTGCCACGAGCCTGGCCTGTCTGCTCAGTTGGGCAAGCTTGTCATCACCGAGCCTAGGAGCCTGAAGAGTAACCCTACGACCGACAAGGATGTCGTCGACGTCGGAGGCTGCGAAGTCGGCATTAGCATCAACGCCTAGCAGGAGGGTAGCATCGGAGGGAAGATGGCTAAGATGTGTCCCCAGGGCTCCCCAGAACGCTGAAATCTCTGTGCTCGGCCTATCAGCATGCGGGGCATGAGCGGAGATAATGCACAGCGGAGGGCATACCGCACGAGTTTTGATGATGAGCATCTGCGGTGTGGAGCATACAATGACCCATGCATCCATAGAGTCGCAGTGCGGGACCCAGTCCGAGCGCAACCAAATTTCGCATCCGTACCGTCCTTGCCGGTCCGCCCCGGAGCGCCATGTCAGAAAATCACCGGAGACCCAGCGGCCCTGTCTGGACCTGCATTCTTGCAGGGTGACGAGGTGCACTTGCAAATCCCTCAGTTGTTTATGGAGATAAGCCCGACGCTGTCCCGAGCCAGTTCTATTGAAGAAATGCGGCATGGTATCCTTGATAGATTGGATGTTTGCCTGCACTGCTCGAAAAGCCAGGTGGGCCGGCTTGGGCACAGGTGGCACAGACTCGCTGTCGCTGGTTTCGGCGTCGCGGGCGACGATGTCCTCTGCTGGCATGGGCATGTCCCACTGGAGAAGGACTTTCGTCCCATCAACCACCCGCCCGTATGGTACCAGCCAGAGATCGTCCGCAGCCGCTGCCCACAGCGCCGAGTGATGTGGCGCACACACAGGACGCTCAACACCTAAGTTGCCATCTTTGGCCGCAAGACCGGCAAGAGTGTCGAGAAGTTCATTGACAACGAAGCCTGCATGGCCGGGGACATGTGCAAGCCTAGTAGCAACACGAGTTTGCAGGGCTTGCCACGCCCGACGGGCGTCCTTGGCCCACTCAGCCGCCGCCGAGGCATGGCCAGCTGCAACACCGAGTGCTGCTTGATTATCAACAGCGGCAGTGACAACAGTGGGCTTGGCGTGCCACGCCGCAGCATTGGCATCCAACCACACGCAAGCCCACAAGGCTGCAGTCTGTAGCGCCGCGAGTTCTGCGGCATACGAAAGAAGCCCAGGGGCGACTGACCATTGTTGGCACACGACGCCGTGTTCCCAGCCCAACCGGTACCACTGTCCAGCGTGCCAGCCCCAAACCACGAATGCCCATGCACCCGTGTGCAAGCCGGTACCGTCAGTGGAGATCAGGACCTGCTCAGGAACTCCGCTGGTCCATGGCGGGTACGCGTGCCAGGCCTGTTGCAGCTGCCATGGTACTTGGGAGGGCAGGGAGGTTGGAAGGTCGTCCGCCAACCAGTATTCATACAGCTTCTCCTGCAGCTGGCCCGCAGGAGTGATGTCAGCCTCCCAACGCGTGCTAGAATGCCGGTTCCACACTGGAGCCCCCCGGGGGCGGAGGTAGCACAGTCGAAGGGAGCTCCTAGCGATGGCTTGTGCGATAGAGGTCACTCGCGGCGGTGTCGTGCGCCATAAGTCGGTGTGTGCGCCTGAGTAGGGCTTCCACCACCGCGCCAGAGCGGGCTCAGCGCGCAGCTCGGAGTCGGGCATCAAAACTTTAACCAAAGCGCTGTGGGAACAATGGGAGACCCAGAGGAATAGAAGGAGGGAGTGGGGAACCACTCCTCCAAGGGAGCAGCCACGGAACCCCAAAAGGGTCAGAAGCAAAGGCCAGAGAGGCCGGCGATGGGGAGCGGCCCACAGAGGCGCGGGGTATAAGCACATCACCATTCCGCAGAAGGACATCAGAGGGGTCCATATTAGCAGTACCGCGAACGACATGGGTGAGTGGTGGTGAGCGTGCCAGTTGGCGACAGACAGGACTCCTATCCCATACCACAACATTGACACGATTGGCTTCGTCGCAACGCAGACAGAGATGTAGTCCCGCATCTGGTATCCATGGTACGGGCGCCCATCGGGCATGTTGCCCGCTCCATTCAGTGATAAAGCTAGCAGCCGTAGGGCGCCAAGAGGCCCCGGCAGGCAACGGAACAACCTGCTTGGGGCGGTCAGGCCGCCAGAGGGTGACCTGGTCCCTTTGAGTCAAGAGAAAGGGCAGTTGCCAAACGGCGTGGTGTCGCGCCTGCTCGGCCGTGAGGCAGATGGGCATAGGCCCCGGGACACGAGCTGCCGCGGGAGGGCGCGCGATAATCATGTCTCCGTGCCGCAGCTTAGGGACGCTGGCTCCAACCTGGGTGGCACCACTGCCGCAAGGCGCAAGATACTCCATATCCTCTCCCAGAGAGCGAGGGAACAGCCTCCAAGGCGTGTCGCGCAACATCAGTCTAGCATGAACAGTGCCACCGACGGAAACTGCAACACAAACCAGTGGCTTAGGCGGACAGGGAACCAGATGCATTGCCCCCATACTGATCGCAGGCCAGACAGGGGCATGGCAAGCCCCCCAGTCTAGGAGGTCATATTGCATGGTGGAAAAGACGTGCACATCCGACATGTGCGTGTGAGTGCGAAAGGGCGTAGCAGGTCCTTGTATGGGGCATAGGGCCTGGACCCAAGGAAAACTCGCCAGACCTACTGTGTTCCCTACGCTGCGCAAGGAGGGATTAACGGGGTAACAGGACTGCCCGACCGCAAGGACACGCGGCTCCAGGCGATTGCTGGAGCTGGCGAGTCTGCGCGACCTGGACCTGCTGGCGACCCTGGGACAAGCTGAAGTGCTGGAGCTAGAGCTCACCTCAAATTCAGTCTCCATGGAGAGGGCCGTATGTATATTAAACCACGCCAACAGAAGAAGGGGCCCGCCCAGCTTGCACTTAGTCCCTAGTGCTAGAAGCAAGAGTAGTCGAGGCGGGGCGACCCTGAGCGCGGTGCTTCGGGGCCGAGAAGGTAGTGGTTTATGCGCTCTTCCGGGCCGGATGACATCAGCATCTCGCAAGTCAACTTGCATAGTCGCCTCAGAGTGGTACAGCACATCGGGATGGCCTGCCAAGGTCCAGGGCCCTTCAGGGGCTTGACGCCGGAAGACATGGGTAATGAAACCCACATCCGCAATGGCAGGTGCTACCAAGCACTCGGTTTGCCCCTCTCCTCGCACCAGAATATGCACTCGGTGCGGCAAGCTGCATGCGGCAACCATGTGTACCTGCTGGCCCCAGGCCCACGGGGACGGTATCCATCGGCCTTGGATGCCTGCGGAAAGGAAAGCATCAAACGCGCCCAGGTGTGGTAGCCATTCTGCTCCGGCAGGAACCGTCATAACTTGAGGCTGGCACCCGGGGCTCCAGAGAATACACTCCCAAGAGGGGATGACATGCAAGAAGCGCTGCCATAGCGTGCAATGGCGAAGAGCGGAGACAGAATGAATATGTACTACACCCCCTCGACGGCCAGTTCGGATGTGCCCAAGGGGGGAAGCATAGAAAACATCTCCCGATCGGAGCGATAAGGTCGGAGACAGGCGCTCCAAGCTGTCTGCCTGCTCAGTCTGGCTTATTGTAGGCTCAATGGCCACCGGAGGGTACAGCTGTCCGAAAGCGCCCGGGGTGCGTGCCGCTATTGCATCAGCGTACCAATCTAGCCGGGCTCTGCGGGGCAACAGCAAGCAAATCTGCCATGTCTCCGAAACGATCAAAATGCAGGCGGACCCAGTATCCGGTGGTACCGCAACCAGCTCCAAGATACTACTGGAAGGGTTCGGCCAGATCGGTAGAACTGACCGTGCCCATGGCGGCTCATCCTTGAGGAGTAACCCGACCAGCCATCCCCATTCGCAGGAGCAGCTGACCTCATGCACATCTCCGGCATCAGCGAAGGGGGTGCGCAGCCGCAGCCGGAAGGTGTTGCTCGCAGATAGCGGCCGGAGGGTACGCTGGTGGTAATCCTCATGCCACGGAAAGGCACCTGCCAAGGGAACCTCTTGAACCCGCGTATCCCCAGATTGTTGCACCATGGAGGTGCCTGCCCAAAACAACCCGAGCGCTAATACCCACCTAGGGGAGAAGACGGCTACAAGGGCAACCATGGGGGCTAGAAGGGGGAAGGCGTGATCAGCACTAGAGGTCTGATGTATCTGCCAGTGCACGGCTGTGAGCCGAGGCGGTGACGCGTCAAGCTGCAGGGAGGCGCCCATAACAAAGGGGACACCTATAAGAAGGGCAGTCTCGGCAACATTCACGGTAGTGCAAGAACACATGCGCAGACACACCATGACATCGGCCCCTTGCCAAAGTATATGCGTCACAGCCCTGGGCGGGCCATATCGGATATCATCCGGCTCCAACGGCGCGCCAGTTTCAACGCGTGCTGCAGGTAAGTGTCGGGTGTTCCCGTGCATGTGGCAGCTCATGTACAGGGGGAATTCCGGCAGGGCGGTGGCAACTTGCATAGCTTTGGCATGAGTCATCAAGGTAGCCATGATCGCGGCTGACAAGGTTCCGGTTTCGGACTGGAGAGACAGGGCCGCGAGCCAGAGCATTACAAAGCGCCCGAGCCAGGCTCCACTCGCCCTGCTATTGGCTGCCACCCTCTCAGCGGCCCAAAAGGGCAGACAGTCTCCGTCCCTGAGGGCAAACTCGCCCGCATGAGCTGCACCCACCGGCGGAAGAACGGTCCCAGTTTGATTGCCCATAGAGAATGCAGCTAGCTCCCCAGCCACGACACTACGGGGTAGCACGCTCGGCACGGAAAGCCTCGGCGACCAGAGGAGCACATGCACCTGATCCTCGTGGGGGGCACTGGTAATGAGATGGACAGCCGAGCGGTCCGGCTGGGGGTGGACTGGAACAACCGGGGCGAGACCCTCACGCGTGGCCCACTGACTGCAGACCACCAGCAAAACACGCAGGCAATCCGGAGACATAAGAAGGCGACCCGTAACCGGGCGTCTCAAACAGCCTGGGTGGTAAATATGAAACCGAACCGCAGTGCGAGCCGGACATTCCGGTAAAAGAGTGATACGGCCTGCCTGCCACGCCTGCCAAGTGGGGGAAAGATGCGCCTGCAGGAAGCCATACTGCGACGGAACAGCCTGACGAACAGCGAGTGAGAGGCAGTTTCCGTAGGTGGGGATTGCGAAGTCCGGTACGCCCCCATGCACGGACGCATGGTGCACGGTCCGTGCCTGCGCCGGTAGAGAAGGAGTGTCGGTGTCCATGGGGTTCGCATCAGTAGACATGCAGTATGCTGATAGGAGCAGGGTGGTCCAAAGCACTGGGCGGTACGCGCCAACAATGCCGGCAAAGATCCAGATCCCAACGGGCCGACCGCTAGCTCCTGTGCTCCTAATCGTGCTGCTTGCGGACGCCGCCTCCGGCGCTGGTTCGTTGGAGGGCACAGCAGGCCCCAGAGCGGAGTGGGTGACGTCGCTATGCGCTTGATGGCCTGCAATCCTGCGGAGCAGTCGGAGGGCTTCTCCCAACTGATGTGTGGCTGCTTCCCAAGCAAGAAGAGAGGTGTCATTAGGGGTCAGGGAAACAGGAGTTTGACAGGCCGCTTCGCAAGTTTCCATGACACGGATGGGTACAGCCGGGACCGCAGTTGCTTCCACAGTGGGGGCCGTGGGCCCAGCTGACGCACTGGCTATACCAGCCGGTAGCTGGTGGGGCCTCTGTCCTCCAGGGCCAGCATTGAGGGGCCCGCCCCAGTCGCTGCGTGTAAAAACGGGCAGCTCCTCTTCCTCCTCCCAAGGACTCAAGTACGTGACGGGACCTTGCTGGTCGAAGTTCATACCCACAGCGAAAAGCTGGCCGTGTCGCAGTCCTGTGAGGGAAGAGCCGTACCTAAAAATCTGTTGGTCACGGACCAAGCAAAATCGCTGAGGAACGACCGGCTGCAGAGTGAAAGTGGCAATGGCCCACTGCATCAAGGCATCCCAGTCCAGGGGGTTGGACTTGCTTTCGAAAACCGCCGCACGATCTTGCCACATGCATACAATGAAGATGTTAGTAGCTGCGCGGCCTCTCGGAACATAGATCCAGTGATTAATATTATGGTGCAAGCTGGGAAGGACCTGGAAAAGCCGACCATCGTTGTCCAGTCTAACCGGAGAATGCGCACTGATAATGGCAATACGAGCATCCGTAATAGTGCGTGTATCACGGGGCAGGTCTACAGGGGTAGGGACACCGAAAGTCCAAACCCGAGTGGGCGGGTGGGCTGGGCGACGGCTCCGAGTGAGAGGGCCGCACCGACCCAAAGGAAGAGAAGCTGCGGTCGAGTGGTACCGGACACCCACACAAGCCCGGTGCTGGTAAGAAGGCCGAACAAGTCCGGGATACTCGCACCGACTCTAGCCCGAGCCCCGACAGGCATGGCATTAGTGCTTGGTGGCCTGAAGTCGGCCACAAGAGAACAGGCCGAGCCGTTAGGCTGAACCGTCGCAGGTATTCCGGCCTGGGACAATGCAACTGGCCGGAGATACTCACGGCGGCCCGATTCCCGAACAATCCACCAGCATCCAGACGCCGGCGGAACACATACGAAATCAAGAGGGTCCTGAAGACTGTCTGAGCCCAGCATGAAACCGTCGTGATCGGTTCGACACCCTTGTGCAGTGAGCCACTCCAGAACATCTGTTTCAGTCAGGGCGTGCGAGAGGCCTATCGCAGCTGGTCCACAACATGGCCTCCAGATGCGCACGACGGTGTCCACAGATGCCGCATCGCTGAGGCATGCGACAAAGTCCGTCATAGAAAGGAAAGCAGGCGACGGCACGCATAGGGACTGCACTCTGGGGCGTCCCGGGGGTTGCGCTAGCAGCAGAGTAGAGGGCACCTCGGCGGTACCTGCGCATACCGGCCGCCCAGTCCGGTCGGGAGGGGTCTCAGTGTGCATCCCAACAACAGCAATACCCAAGAGGACGGGGAGGTAGAAGGGCCGAAGGCTGTGCATGGACGCCGTTAGAAGGATCCCAAGACTGAGCATATTAGCCCAGGGGCGGTAAGAACAGCTCGACGTTGCAAGGCGGGGGTCTGCAGAAAGCCCTGTGGACGAGTGAGGCCCCGCCAGAGGCGTCATGATTGTGTGGCAATCTGCGTGCCCAAGATGGGCACCAGTGCGTTCGGATTGATTGTGCACACCGAGGCAAGCCCAGACATGGCGACGTATGTGTCTTGGTTCCACATTATGCTGCACTGGATCCCCCCCTTCTTGACGTGAGCACGCATTCCCTTGTCATGCCGCGAGGATGCTCCTGGCAGCGAGGGCCCCGTCAGCAAGTGTTCCCCCTAATCCAACCGGCTCAACCTCATCTATGGCTCCCCCGCATGTATGGTGTTAGCGCGCGGGAAACAGCTGTCAATATGCTCACCCGGGCCCTGCCGGCTACGGCAGACTCGCTGACCTTGCTGGATGTCCCGCCGCAACTTATGGGTCTTCCAGGCCCTATTCTTCTGGCGTCTACTCGTGGTGCCATCTGTACGCTTGTTTGGCTTCATGACTCCCATGAAGGGCCACAGCTGGGCGCTGCTTTCGCAGTGACAGGCATATTCTCACAGCGAGAAGACCTGCTCCGGGCCCTTCAATGTCTACCAGGTGAAGCTGCCACACTCTGGCATCGGGTTGAGTTTGCCAACTTAGAGTGGCGATATTCCCAGACTATCTCCCTTGTGGATAGCAATGCTGTAGTCGCTGAGGTTGTGGTTGCAACGGCTAACATGCGCGCTGCGCTCACCCTTACCGGGGGAGACTCCCTGTCTTCAGAGACCTCGCCTTATCAGTTTAGGCCGGGATCCCAGTCTGTGTTGGATGGTCAGTTCTCCTCCCTGAGCTCGGGAGACTACGACCCGTGCGTGGCGGCCCCCGGTATGCAAGCCCCGGGAACTCTGCGGGTAGTCTACTGCTCGGGCCCTCCTGTGTGGTGCCGTGTGACGCCCGATATATTCCTTGGGGTCTTATTGTGGGTGATCAGGTTTTCACCTCTTGCACACCACAAGTTGCCTGGGCTGAAATCGCTACTGTTGCTGGCGTCTCTGTCCTGGCCTTGCAGGGAGCTGCAGTTAGCGTTGAAGGGAACCTCTGGCATTGGCCAGATGACCCCTTTGGCCTGCGCTTTGCATGCGGGCTCTTCATTCCCGGCGGTTTTACAGCTCCCTTATAGACCCTATACAACCCAAAGGCCCCTTAAATCAGAACCCTTTAAAGAAGGTACGGGACCATACTAAGGGCCCCTGTAGCTACCCTTTTTAAGTCCTGCACAGCTCGAGCGCCGCACCTATGGAAGCCGATGCCCGTGTCGCGGCGGCCGATGGAGAGGATCGGAGCTCCGTGTACGTTTGCAAGCAAGGGTGGTACCCCGAAGCCTTGCCGGAGTGTAGGATTTTAAGGTATTAGGCTTAGGGGTTAGGGTTTAGAGCTTCAGGTTTTACAAGGTTTGCAGTGGTTAGTCAGGTTCTTTTTGTTTTCTTTCAATAGGGTTTAGCTGACATTCTATAGTACTTAGAGGGGAGCTTGGGCATGAGGATGCTTTAAGAGATTGTGTGTAAGAGAATATGTACGCAAATTCCCCAATTCCTTTTGAGTAAGTTTAGAGGGCTTTCATCACCCGAAGCCTTCCAGGAGCGCGTGCCGGTTGCTGTCGAAGTCATTCTCAAACACCACGCACCTGCGTTCGTGCGAGTCGGGGAGTGGGGTGTTACGAGCCATGGATATCCATGCGTACCGCATTCAGGAATCTGAGCTAAGCGCTAGCAAGTTCCTGCATGAGCTCTATCCGCATACTCTGACTTGCTTACGATGGCTTCGCCCGTGAGGCTGAGAAGCGGGAAGCTTTCTTCGCTCTGCCATTTGCCTTTCTATGGAACCCCTGAAGCTCTTCAGTGAGGTCGATCTGTCAAGGCTTCCGGAGGTCTTGCTGAATGTCGAGGTTGTTGATGCTATGCGGAGTTGGAACCGGGTGTGGGATTCGGGTTGCTCGAGTCGACTTGGTAGCCCAGTATAACCATCATATTACAGTAAGGGTACCCTTTCGGGGTTGGTTACTTTATAAGGGAGCCTGGAACCAAGAAAAGGGGGAAAGAGGGTGTATACCACACAGCTTTGGAGTCGAAGGGCCTGCCAGCGAGATCGCTGGACAAGTATCTCCCCAAGGTCGCGCAGCTCTCCGCTGGGCCGGCGTAGCCATATTGGTGCAGCGTCTGGCATGGCCGCAGACGGAACTCCAAATGCCCAAAGTTCTCTACCTGCAGTGCTGCGTTCGCATGCTTACACTGCAAGAAGCACTTCAAACCAACGCGTCTCCCAAAAACACCCGAGCTGCCAGGTAGTCTCGTGTCCAAGCTCGGGCAGGCCAGCTGTCGGTCAGCCCGGCCATGCGGTGAGGTCGACTCAGGTCCAAGCACCCCGGCGCGATGGTGGCACCGTCCTCGAGCATCAGGCCCTGCTCCTTTGCCGTTCTTGAAACTCTGTGGTTGATAAAGCAGCCAGAGTTTTTCTACGAGCACTTAGCATCATCTCACATCTTTGTGTGTATATATATTTATTTTTTATATTTATATATAGAGTACAAACATGCACCGACAAATCACACAAAACCAACGTTCGAGAATACAGCCGCAGGCTCTGTCTCTGCAGCCTCGCGCTCCTCTGTGGTAGGCTCGCACCAGCTGGCCTCCGCATGCCGCGCCGAACTGGCGCACGCAGGCCGTGACTTGCGGGCGGCGCAGGCGCCCAGAATCTTGGGGCTGTTTTACGTGGGGTTCTCGTTATTGGATAGACTCGGAGAACCCGTTCCACAAAGAAACACACCGGAAGAAAAACAAAAAATCAACAAAACGACCCGAGAAACAAGCAGGGCAGTCTTGCTCTGGCGCGAGCTACTGATGCTCCGCTGCTCCAGCTGGCAGTGTGCACATGACTCCGGTGACAGGCAAGGTGCCCTTCGCGGTGCGACCGGTGGCGAGACAACATGCATCGAGCTCCAGTCTTCTTGAACCAGGGAGCTGCCACAGGCCGAATTCTTTAGAGCTGAGGGTGAAAAGCTGCCGCCATGTTGTTCTTTGTGGCGTGGCAGCTGAACATGACACGACTCAAGCCGCTGGGCTGTGGACATGAAAAATATGAAGACCCCGAACAAAGAAGCTCAACATCAAGATAGAGTATGTGCCATCAGGAGCCTGGGCTATGTCATGGATTGTCCTTCGTGGCGACCTAGGGAAGTGGCCTACGCGAGCAGCCTGCACATCCTCTAGCAAGACTAAGATATGCCCCGCCTTTCTGATATCCCAGGAGCTACATCCGTGCCACACCCCTAAACCCTCAACGCCCTAATGCCCAAGGTAGCCATGGACTAAAGGACTTCACACAAACTGCCACAATCTCACGCCTTGAGAGGTTGGGGTCCCGGCCACTCTGCTGACGCTCAGCTTCGCACTCCGCCGCTTTCAGGATCTCGCACAAAGTGTAAGAGTTTAGAGTTTAACCCCAGACAACCCTAAGCCCTAAGCCCTAAACCCCAAAGCCCAAGTCCCAAACCAGTAACTGCGTAAGGGTGTGGGAAGCACGTCATGTGAGCCAGGGCTCTCTCAGTCGTATACACATCGCACCAACTTTGGATATACACTGCCTACATTGGGGCATTTGGAGCCTTGCAAGGTTGTCACTTCGAAGCTCTTTTGACCTAGTAACTCGGCCCAGTTTAGGGTTTAGGGTTTAGGGTTTAGGGTTTAGGGTTTAGGGTTTAGGGTTTAGGGTTCAGGGTTCAGGGTACCTAGTAACTCGGCCCAGTATCCCCTAGAAACCCCACTAGAGTGTCCATAACCCAGCTGACTAACCCTACCTGCTCAGGCAAAGGAGCTTCCAAGAAGGGAGTTGCTTTAAGCCCCGGGTACGGGAGGGTTTAGGGCTCGCATGCTTTCGGGTTTCGAGTTTAGGGTCGATCTAGCGTATGGGCCCTGGCTACAGGAGCACCCAAACCCTAAACCCTAAACCACTTCTTGTAGATCCCCCCCCCCCACCCCCCGATGCCGTTTAGGGTTTAGGGTTTAGGGCTTAGGGTTTACGGCTGGCGGCTGAGAGCAACCCAGGAGGACTTGCAGATTCTTTGGGGGAGATGAGAGGATATCTGCACTGCTTCATCGTCTAGCACTGGCACTCTGGCTTTGCGAATGCCTGAGGCCACCCCCAAAGACAACAGGGTTTAGGGTCAAGGTTCGGGGCACACACATGTGCGATATGATATGGCCCCGAATACACCATAATCCTTGCTATCGGAGCAGCAAGGGGGACCCCCAAATCTTAAACCCTAAACCCTAAACCCTAAACCCTAAACCCTAAACCCTAAACCCTAAACCCTAAACCCTACCTTCTGATCACTTCCGTCCTCTGCGGCTTGCCTCACGCCGAGTCTCAGGGGCCTTGCCAGCAAGCCCGGCTTGGTCGAATTCTGTCTCAGTAGAGTGAGGGTTTAGGGTTTAGGGTTTAGGGTTTAGGGTTTAGGGTTTAGGGTTTAGGGTTTAGAGTTTAGGGTTTAGGGTTTAGGGTTTAGGGTTTATGGTTTAGGGCTTATTTCCGTAGAATAGGTATCGCGTGCAAGTTTGTTGGGCATGTACAAGGGCCAAAATAGGACGAGACGGGGTTTGCCTAGGCCCCTGAGCTGGCATGTACTGGCTGCATAGAGTTTATCGTGGAGACTTGAGGTGGAACGTATGGCTGTGCAGCAGGGTGATCTCGGATCTCACCATCCGAAAGGAAAT